CCTGTCACAAAGTAAGCATCAGTTCATCACTCCATCTTAACAGCTTGTCTTCACATATTAAAACAAGCCTCCAAACCATGACTGATATAATTTAGAGTCATTAATTAGTTGCTGCTCGATCCTTCAAATGAATGCAGTAGCAAAGCCCTCTGAGCTTCACCGAGATCAAAAGCCTGCTTGTGCACAAGGCTCCCCTCCCCCTTGGTAGACAGTCTTTCTAAAAGAAAGTGATTAAGTGACAAATTATTCTTTGGAGGTACAAGTGCTGTGTCTGCTGGGTTGCTGTGGTTTGATTCGATTCTTTCACCCTTAGGTTAGTGGTCCCAATGAAGCCACTTGGTTAGGCTCTTGCTTTTGAGCCGAGGCAGGAGGTTGGAGATACACAATTGTCTCTGTGGCCAAATATGCCAGCGGCTTGTTGAGTGCCATTCTCAGCTCAGGTTCTGGCTGAGGAAAGTAGAAATGGGGTGCAAAGCTTGATCTGCCTCTGCAATCACAGAATCACAGGATACTTTGGGTTGCAAGGGACCTGTACAACTCATCTAGACCAAGTCCTGTGCAATGATCAAGGACAGCTCCAGCTAGATCAGGTTACTCAGAGTCCTGTCCAACCTGACCTTGAATGTTTTCAGGAATGGGGCACCCACCACCTCTGTAATCAGGGATACTTTGTTGAGTGAGTAACACAGAATCTACCATATCCAGCTTGTGACCTTGAATTGGCATCTAGGCACCTTTATAGCTCTGATACAAGGAAAAATATTGCACAGAGTGGAACCCATTCCTATTTCCTACTTGCTTTCTCACTTTGTGGCACATAGCTGCATATTTTTGCCTTGCCTCTAACTATGCATAGTGATCACAATAACTATACCTCATCCATATACCAGAACTCTTGATTAGGCTTCTCAAGCCTAATCTAATTTTCCCGTAGTCCCTAAACTGAACAATCTTTGCCTCATTCTCATCTGCCATTTCTCAGTTAAAGAGTAATATATCTGTGATAATATTATTTGGGACTATTTATTATTTATTGTGTAATGCCCCAAAAGTGCCATGCACAGTGACAGCACAAAGCACGTGTTTGATGCTATTTAAAAACTTGCAACCTTTTTTCAGACAAAAAAGTCGATCTTATCCTTAACACAGCTACTAATTAGGGTGGTAGAAGAATAATTAGGGCAGGCACAGCTGATCTGAGGTTATGCAACAAATCAAAGTTATGACTGGAATCCAGAATATATCCTAAGAAAATCACTAACATAATCTCAAAAACTCCCCTTTATCCGTTACGTATGGAGCAAGCAACTGCAATTGGTTATTTTCTTCGTAATCATCTTGCAGTTTCTGTAAATCTTTGCAGACAAAAGCATGTCACCTCTGAAGTACTCTCATTCTCTAGCAGGATGAGAAAACAGAGGGGTAGGACATATTCGAACTCAGATTTCCAAGTTCAGCTGCTCCTTATGCTATTTTCAGCCCCATAAGCCTTTTCCTTGTTGTCATTTGGGGATGTGTGTGCATGATTACAAAGACAGTGTTTGCTCTGTTTGGAGACAGACCTGTCTGTTGTCCTACCATACTAAAATGAAGGGCTGAATTCCCCTTTGCTGCCAGACAGCTTTTTTAATCTTTTTACCCCAGAGTGTTATATTTTTTCCATCTGACTTCAACAAGGAATTAAATTGTGAATGTTAATAGTGACAACATTTGCATTCTTCTCTCGGATAGAATGTAAACAGCAGAGTGATGCTGTTTTGGCCAGGAAACGGGGCCAAGCTTTTCTAGGTCCGCTGATTTTCATAACGAAAAGGTTATATGAATGTATAAATAAATTGTCCTTTCCATTAACACAGCCCTACTCTGCATCTGGAACTACTCATGCTTGTGGAGAAACAGGAGGTGATACCTTAGAAAAGCTGAAATGTCCGAACTTGTAACTCCTTCCCTAAACATCCTATTGCAACAGGAACAAGAGATGGTGCATTACCAAGTTGAAAGTACACACTGCTTCTGATACAGTGTGAAGACATCAGACAAGTGTCTTTAAAAAAAAAAAAAAAAAGTACATCTTCTGCTAGTTCAGAGGAAATTAAACCCACATGAAAACTTCACTTACTTTTTGAATATTACATCATACGTTACAATGCCATGTAAAATGGACCTCCATGCTGCATAAAATTGGCATTCCATTGTTTTCTATTTTCCACTTCTCTTGATAAATTCACATAATAAAGTGTGCTTCTGATAACCTGTAATTCCACTGATAGATCAGTCATACAGGAGAGACGGAACTGACTTTTCAAGAGCAGCGCATGGCTCCCATAAAATTATTCCAGCTTTCGTGGCACGTCATAGAGAACCGGGGACACAATGCATTTTGTATTTTGTAATAAAAGACATTAGCACTGACTGCTTGGCTTTCTTCTCATGTGACTTTGTATGTCGGTGGGGAATTCAGTAGTGCAACATAAAGATGTCACTACAAAATGCAAACGCGGTAATACTCAAAGTAATGGATAAAAACAAGAGATGCAGTATGCTAGCAGGGTACTAATTAGTTTGGCTCTGCTATCTCAGATAATCTCAAACCAATTCCAAACCTGTTTCCCTTTTATCTTTCATGTGTGCTACCTTTTCTGATGCTATTGCAGTTTAAAAAAAAAAAAATCATTATTTAGATTATCATTGGACAAATGCCTAGGAAAGTACTATTGATTAATGATGTATTAATCAATTTTATTATAAACACAGGCCTCCACTTGGCTGATTGACACTAGCAGCTATTAATGATTAATTTCTGCTTTCATTTACAGTGGCAGGAAGGAGATTCTGTCAATAGGAATGAAGATACTTTATGTCCCTAGACAAAGGAAAATAAGGTCATTATTTGGTTTATGAAAATATAAAATGTTTTAAATTAAATATTTAAGTAATGAGTCACTTGTGTGCTTTACAAACTGATTTACAGTATACGGAGTCACTTAGCTAGTCCAGTTGGATGCAGAAGGGCAGGTAAGAGATAAAAAGGCTGTTAAAGTAATAAAGTCCAACCCTATGCGTGGCTGCCTTTCTAAAAAATAGGTTAGTCATCTTTGTTTCACTGTGGATGTGTCACCACATAATAATCATTGTAGTCATTAACAGTTCATGCCATGCTGAACCTATGCCTTTAATTTCATTTGTGTTTTGAAAAATCTCATATTAAACTAATTCATTTCCCCTTGACCTAAATATTTATGTCAACAATATATATACAACTGATCCCACTATAACCTATTATGTTAGAGACTGTTTACAGGCACCAATAAGAAAATCTCAGTGAATAAGTAACACGATTAAGAAGCTTTCTATATACTGGATTTAGAGACTTTACTGTGCGGGGTATATTAGTTTTATTGTTTTTCAGGACAGGTATTGTTTTTATGCTGTATTTTTATGCAGCTAAATGTTTCAGACCTTTTTTTGAGTAGGAATTTTTAGCAATGGCATAGTTGTTAATGTTCTGTATCTGCTGTACAATAAATTAGTGCTAAAATAAATTGCGCTAGGCTTCAGTCTTTTTCAGAGCTCCACTATAGTTATGTAATACTTCTTGATCAGGCCAGAATTGAATGATTGAAAACTGAAGAGATTTAATTTCAGTAGCTGCTTCCTAAACCTTGTGATACTGGTTAGCTCCCTACACCACCAAACAGATCTCATCCAGAGACAAGTGCCATCTATCGATAAAAGATATATTTGAGTCGGAGAAGTCCAACCCGACCAAAAATGGAACCAGCCTGCCACCTGCTGCTGTGTGGAATTACTTCAATAAATGTATTTGCTAGGCCTTGTTCTGACCCAAGAAACACACTCCTGTGTGAGCTGCGTCCGACAAAAGCCTGCCTATTCTTCTAACAGCGAGCTTTCCCCTGGGCAGTTCCAAAAGCGTTGGTTAACATTGAAATAATGGGACGTTCTGTGCATTTGAAAATAGGAGGACGTCAGGAGGATTTCTTCATGGAAAGGGTTGTTAAACATTGAAATGGACTGCCCAGGGCGGTGGTGAAGGTGTTTAAGGAAAGACTGGATGCGGCACTTAGTTGGTCTAGTTGACATGCTGATGTTCGGTCATAGGTTGGACTCGATAATCTCGGGGGTCTTTTCCAACCTTACCGATTCCCTGATTCTGTGATTCTAGTACTTCCAAATCTTGGTGCGGCTAACTCCGGTGTTTGATGGTCTCGTTCAAGTTTCTGCTCCTGGAAAGGGGCCACGAGCTGAAAACTCAGCTCCTGCTAAAAGCAGCTGCTTAGTCCCTGCAATCATACAGCTAGAGGCTGGCAAGGTCTCATATATCCGAATAAAAACATCACCACCGACGACAAAAAAACCTCAACCCAAAATAAAAATCACATTACTAGTCTGATGTCTCACAGTTTTATCAGGACAGGTTGATATTTGAGGCTTTCAACAGCGAGACCTAGGTCCTTTATGTGTTCTGAGGGGCAGGATATTTAGTATCCAGTGCTTTGGTCACATCCGCCGGGGTAAATCCTGGGACTTGGAAAACGCACCCCGACTCCCAGAGACTGCTCAGAGTAAAGTGTCCCCCCAGAAGTCACAGGGGATGGGGCCAAAACTCCCAAGCACACTAATTAAAGCAAACAACGCGGCGCGGCCCTCAGCGCCAACCCACGCCACGCGGGCAACAGCACGGAGCGGAATGAGGGGACGGACCGGGAGGGCAGAGGGCTTGAACTGAGAGGCGACGGGGAGCGCAGCCAGGGTGCGTAAAACACCGGCTGAGCCCGAGGGGACACAACAACCCCACACAAGGAAGACGCTCCCAAGCGCCCCGGCCACGGCCGGCCGAGGGAAACGCGCCTGCGCCCGCCCCGCCCCGCCCCGCCCCGCCCGCCCGCGGTGCCGGAAGGGGCGTCCCGGTGCCATCCGATCCCCCGGGAAAGGGTAAGGGGGGGGGGAGCATCGATCCCGTGCCGAGGTGTGCCCGCGGGTTTCCCTTAGGGAATGTGTCGGAGGCCGGGAGTCGAGCCCCGAGGTACGGGCGGGTGTGGGGAGCCTCCGGCGGGGCCTGCGAGGGAGGGCGTTCCGTGGCGGGCTGCGTCAGCCCCAGCGACACGAGGGGCGTACCGTGAGATCCGCCACGAAGGCCGAAAGTGCTTTAGTGGAAGACAGGGCGAGTTAATTGCAGGCTTTTGTACGGAACGTCGCCAGTGAGCCGGCTGGGTGGTTTGTTCCCCCCCCCCCACCACCCCCCTTCCCTTTTCAATTATGTTGTAGATTCGTGTGAAGGTTGGAACACACTGGTCGTTTGCCTGACATGAAAATGCTTACGCCAAATTACGAGTGAGGAGGAAACTATATTCTTGCTTTAATAATAAAATGTATTGCTGTTACAGTGGTAGTTTGAAATCATTAAAATAGCAGTCCTCTCTAATAGAAAATACTGTTATTTTTTCAAGTTACGTTTATTGTTCCTGTTCTGTGGCTCCTGTCAGCTTTCCACAATTGGTACAGGCTAAACGTGTTTGTTTGTTTGTTTGTTTGTTTTAATTTTTTCTAAATAGCACATATTCAGATATTAAAAATTTGAAAATGTAAATGAAAATCTAAGCGTTTTTTAAAGAAGTTGAGTACCTCTAGCACCATAAGTCATCATTAGACACGGCTGCAGTGTAAATAGTGAACACTGTGGTCACTGGACCCTTAAATGCACAGTGCATGAACATCAGAGTAATTTTCATAGGCTAGTGCAGGACTGGCATGTCTTGCAAGTAATTTTTTTTCCCCCTCTGGTTTTGAAATAATATTTGACCTGTCTCAGAAGGCATTAATTCAGTCGTTTCCTGGTTTATATTTTGTCATTCTGGTCTTGGCCGTGATGCTACAAAACTCTAAAAACAGTCACAATTTGAAACACAAATAGGCCTGGTAGACATACAGATTTGAACATGTGCATTCTTTGCAAAATTGTGGCCTTTGTTTATATCCACAAGTGCTTTGCTCCTAATGTGTATGTGGCCAGTCTCTTCGCGAACGAAGAACCGGGGAAGGTCTTTCCACCTTCCAGCCTGCGCATTGGATTTTTTAGGTGAGACACAGTGTGCGCGGAACTGAGCCCACCCTTTGATCCTGAGGTTCATCTCTGCAAGGAAAATAAGAATTTATCTAGAAAAGGTTCATAATGCATCATTCACCCATTGCCCCTCACTCAAAATATTTTTCTCCAAGTTCTGCTGCTGTCACAACACATAAAAGTTAATATTGGGTTTAGTCCTCTGAGTTAGGAAATTGAGCTTTCTAACGTATGCAAGGCTGCAGAGGACAGAGATTTGATATTTAGAAAGTTGAACTGAATTGAAATGTCATTTGCAGTTGTTACGAAACACAAAGTACTCACTGGAATTCACCAGTTTCCACTACAGGGATGAGATGTCCTAGTTACAGGGGCTGGGACCAGTTTATCACTACGTGGGTATAACTAAAGCTGTGTATTCTGCACCCTCAGTGTAATTTCTGATGGACTGTTAATAAATAGATTGTTTGCAGCAGCTGTCCAGGGCACACCTGCCACCCCAGGCTACAAGCTGGGTGTTAAAGAAACCAGGGGAGTGTTCCTTTATTTTCACACCAGTGACTCAGCTGTGACAACTCCCCACCAGAAAGGCATTAACACCTTCACACCCAGCCTGAGGGGTCATCTCTGCTAATGGGCCACCTTGGCATAATAGGCAGCTGCAACATCTAGACCATCAAAGATTCCAAAAATATCCCACAGAGTTAAATCACCCATTGTGAAACTCCCCGTCCTGAGGGAGGTACTGGGCATTCCCACCTGAACTTGAACATGTATAAACTTCGGGTTTAGGGACTTCAGACACCACACATCTATCGACCCACAGGTGGACCAGAACTTCAGCAGGATTGTGACTGCCGCTCTCGCTACTTCAACAGGACTGTGACCATCATCTGGACCAACAGGTTTTCCTTTCCTTTGCTCACGGGGTGCTCAGCACAGGGGCTAACGAACATTGTTTAGTTCTTGTCCCAGGATGCTGGGTCATAAATCTGTCTTTGGGGGTTAAGACCAATTTTTCTCTGTAAAATTGTATTTATTGTGACCTTCTTAGTAAATTGTAATTCTGACTTGTCATCTCTCTTGAGTTGGGTTCATTTAATTTACTTTTTAAACCAGCACAGACAATTTTTTTCCTTTTCAGTGCTGGAATAACAAGCTCGAGGCAATGGCTATTACATCAGCTGATAACAACACAAATGTTTAGTTCATATCTGCAGTGTAAGAAGAAACCTACATCCCTCGCTTTATTCTTTCCTGTAACCCCCTGTGCAACTGAGGCCAAAATTGGCTCATCCTAGCTTCTTGTTACCTCCTCTGGTGAGTATGAAACCCAATGATTTTACTTGCCTGGGTAACAGTTACACTTGAGTAGGGTTTCTGTACCCAAAATTTTGTCAGACTCTTAACTGCTTTTTTTTGTGTTGGTTTTGAAATAAGTGGTGCAATGTAAAGGAGCAAGTGTCTCTCCAGCACACTTTTTTTGAAACTTTTTGAAAAGTATCATAATTTACCATGGGAATAACTTAAAAAATAACAGCTTCCTGTGTTTTGTTTGGAAAGTTGATTTCTTTAGACCTAGTTTAGATTAAAGTAATGATTTTCTCAGCATATGATGAAAAAAAGCTTGGAAGATTTAATGTTCTGTAGGGTGCATTACTCCTGTAGAAACATAGGCAGTTAACTTTTATTGGTGTGCAAAAGTACTTGACTTAAGCATAAAAGGAATATATTCTTGTAAGTCTTAAAAGAATTACTGTTTCTCCAGAAGGAATCAGTCATGGCTGATGACTCTCAGAGAAATTTTCGCTCAGTGTATTATGAAAAAGTGGGGTTTCGTGGAGTTGAAGAAAAGAAGTCACTGGAAATTCTATTAAAAGATGACCGTTTGGGCAAGTTGATTTCACTGCTTCCTCTGTTACTTTGGTGATAAGGGGCTGGGGAGGAATTAATAGAAAATGTTAAGCTGCTGTGCTTAATGCTCATTTAAGTTTTTCATGGTTTGCCACTAATGTCTCTGCTAGCAGACCTTTGAGTTTCAAAGATCTGAAAATCTGATTTTTAGAACTAGTAAAGGCTTGTCAGTTTGCTTCCTTTTCTTTTCTTCTCTCATTCTTTGTGCTGAAGAAACTAAAAGTTTTCTGGTGAAAGCAGTTTTAATCAGAGAATGCATAATTTCATGCTGTTTATTCCATATAACTTCAAAACAATGAAGATTTTGTTGTTGCTGTTGGTCCCTGAGGAGTGCCACATCTCTAACAGAACAGAAAGATAAATGTTATCCCTTTTAAAAAAGCCCTTAATTGTTTTGACAGTGACATGATTTACAAAATACCTGTAAAAATGATGCAGTTTCTTCCTGATGAAACCTAAAATAGTTTTACTGTAGATCAAACCCAACATATATATTTTTCAAAATTGTTGAAGTTTATGGGACACATTCTATTCCCAGTTGAAGTGGTGAAAGAATTTATTGATAACACATGATGAAAGTGAGGATTTCAGTCAGCAGCTAAAGATTTGTCATACTTAGGTAGATCAGAGGCGCAAAAATATTTATATTTAGGTTTATAATAATTTTTTTTTCTTTTTATTTCTCTACAGATATTGAGAAGCTTTGCACATTTAGTCAGAGGTTTCCACTCCCATCCATGTATCGTATACTGGTGTGGAAAGTGCTTCTAGGTATGAAATATAACATAGAATGTAGAAAGGTGTATTTTTTACAGAGGTAATGACGTAGATTATTCTGTACTACTTTACCTACTGCTGCATATTTATCCTGCTTTTGTATCCATCTCGAATGCACAATGGCAATTATAAAATAATATTCCATGGATAGTTTTTGAGAACTTTGCTGAAGTGTACCTAGGAGAGTGTGTTTCTTTATTAATTTTTTAGCACTATGCAGTTACATTGATAAAATGTTTGAAATGTGGGTTATAGGAAGTCACCAATACCTGGTAAGGTATTCAGTGCTGTTCCTGAAATAACAGTTAGGTTGAAGTAAAGCTGTGATCAGTTTTAAACTGGGCAAGGTATGGGATGCATGTTTACTCTAAAGAAAAGCCTTGTGTTCCACAAAATCTTGGTTTCTTCTGGTTTTGCTTCTGGCTTTGAGTTGTATTTGCCATTGGAGAAGTTATGAGGCCGAAGACAAGTTATGGTATCCCCAGAAACCATGAAAACCCATAAATAGATTATATTTTCCTTGGAGTGCGTTCATCAGATGACTCATTCAAAAGTACTACTGACTTTGCACTATCTGGTAAAAGTTTTACTACATGTGAGCTTGTGTCACTTGGAGACAGGAGGGGTTGTGCAAGGCCCAGGAGTTCTGACCCTTACAAGGTACCTGGAGAGTTTGTTTTCCTTAGAGTTGCTGCGTGTAGAGAAACACCGACAGGCCGAGTGTGAAGGTTGGACTGAATCTGTGGAAGAGAAATGTGATTTACCATACTCTTGGTGGGGGAGCACTGTGCCGCTTTTGAAAGGCTTGAGCGTGGCTCCTCTGCTCAGTCTTCTGCTGCCAGAGCTGTGCTGGCAGGAAAGGAGCTGAGAGCCAAAATGTCTCATCAGGGAGACCAGCAGCATCAGTCCTCAGATTGGCTTGGGAGCTGCTGTCTTTTACTGCCTGTGAACTCTCCCGCATGTTCTTTGTCATTTGGCTCTCCAGAGTACATGAAGATTCTTGGCATGTGATTCAGAGTCAGGAAGGTTGGGGATTCCTACCTCAGAAAGGTTATTTTCCAAAACCGTTTTTGTCTGGTTTAGGATGTTTATTTATCTTAGGCTGTGCCATAATCTTGAACAATGTTCAAGTAAATATCTTCTTGGTTTCTGTATTCCACTACAGTGTCTGGAGTTTGAAATAGTGTATTAGAAAGTTTTAGATGAGTTTTAAAAATTATTTTAATTTTTTTCTTCCCCCCCCCCTCTAATTTTCTACAATTTAAAAGTTGTGGCTTCATATCCCTGATTATTTGGATTTGTGAGCCTGTTTCTGGCAAAGGCAGTAAAGGAACAGTGCACAGGAGGTGCAAGATCTAATTATGAAACTTGGAAGTTCTTGGCATTGATCATTGAACTGACAGAGTAATTCTACTTGATAAAAGCCTTTGCCATAAAAAAGATGATTGCATCCTGGGCCCTAGTGAAGTAGTCAGCATCTTTAAAATATTAGTTGTAGGAAATATAGCGTAGGAGGCTTGGGCAAGTGACTCAGTACAAGATCTTTCAGCCAAAATTATAATAGCAAAATATAGTCTCTGCAAAATCATGGCTCACTGCAGAGCCAGTGGTCAATCTTTGACTATTTTAGATAGATGATCTGTGAATTATCTGATAACACAAAACACCTTCTGAGTTAACTGCATGGAAAATTCTATTGATTTTTAGAAAGATTTTGTGTTTTAAACCCAGAGTGATTCATTTCACAACATGAAGCGGTGTCAGGGGAGGTTTAAGTTAGATATTTGGAAAAGGTGCTTCACCCAGAAGGTGGTTGGGCACTGGAACAGGCTCCCCAGGGAAGTGGTCATGGCACCAAGCCTGCCAAAGTTCAAGAAGTGTTTGGACAACGCTCTCAGACTTGTAATTTTTTGGGGTGGTCCTGTGCAGGGTCAGGAGTTGGACTCAGCGATCCTTGTGGGTCCCTTCCAGCTTGAGATATTCTGATTTAAAGCATCCATCCTGTCATTCTGTATACTTCTTGGGTGAACAGAGGTGAACAAGAACTTCTCTTATGCTGTATCTCAGTGTTAACACTTGTTAGAAAAGCTGGTATTGAAAAAGAATGCAAAATATCTCCCTAAGTAGTTGGAACGACAGCCGAGTCCATTTCTGATTGGAAGTGTTGCATGTCCTCTAAATAATGTTAATAGTTTAAGAAAATTTTGCTGACAGGATAGGCTTCCTTATCTCAGACGTGTACCAAGACTTGATGCTGTCCCTGGTTGCATGGTATGTCAGCAATGTCTCCATTAATTTCCTGTTTAGGTGTGACTCAGGATGATTTTTAGACATCCCTATGTTGTTTAAGCTTCTTTTCTTTCTGCCTAAGGTTGTCTTCTGTATTTGAGGAGAGCAGTTGGCAGTATGTATATACGAAATCACGATGTTGACTCTCTTTTGGCATAACATGAAAAATGTCTTGCTCTGTCCCAGCTTTTGAAATGCAGACAGGTTTGCAGTTGGAACTGAAAAGATAATTTTGTGTCTGATGCGCTTGTTACGAAACTCAATCACTTCATGGTTTAACACTTGGCAGGAATATTTTTTTCTTAAAATGAGAGATAAAGCAGCAGGTAGCTTGTTTCAAACTGATTTTTGAAGAATATTCTCATGGGTTTCTGCACTGAGAAATATTCTGCTCCACTAGTGAAATGTTATGCATCTCTTCTGGTGATGCAGTTTAATCTTCTCTACTTTCCTACTTAGATACTTTTATTTCTTTTTTAATTTTTTTTTTCTCCTAGAAAACTAGAAAAAATATTCATGTTGTGCTAAGAATGTAAAAAATGTTACCTTGCGAAGTGCCTATGTGATATTCTTAAGTTTTAATCTAAATCTGATTCAACGTGTGTGATTGATTTTGCTTCTGAATGTTGTTTTAGAGAGATTAAATTGGTCAATTGAATCTATATATTCTCTGTCATCTCAGACAAAGTGTAGAATTTGGGAAAATGAGCAGCTAATGTAAATAAAAATCATTCTGCACCTACTTTTCAAGATAAGTGGAAGGTGGGTGCAAATGCGCAACTATAACTATACTAAAAACTAGATAAGTATAAGCCAGTAACAAGTAAGATTTCTCTTTACAGTCACTTATATTTTTTTCTTTTAATTACTTTTTTTTTTTTTTTTTAATTTTTGTTAGGAATTATTCCTCCTCACCATGAATCTCATGCTTTGGTGATGAAGTATCGGAAGGAGCAGTACTGGGATATACACCATGCCCTTCGTGTAATTCGCTTTATTAATGATTCTACCCCACAGGTAGATGTTTTCCTGCGCATTCATCAACTGGAATCAGGAAAATTGCCTCGAAACTTGGCTTTCACACTGGTCAGTGAACTGCAAGTCACCCCACAAATGCATGTAGATAGACCAAGTAAGGTGAATGGAAAACAGAGAAGTACTGGTATAAAATAAGAAATTTTAGTCCAAGTGCTTTTCTCTTTTTCTTCCCCTAAGTACTTACGTAAGATTTCATGCCTTAGAATCCCTTTTGTGTTTTTTGCCTGCTAGCTTTCGAGCATTTTGTACTCTGAAATGAAAATGGCATAATCCTATTGGAGCTCGTAGATTCTTACATGTCCTGGAACAAGGATAATTCAGAGCCAGTACAAGCTATGATTTAATGCAAATTGCATTATATATTTAAATTATTTGTTTTTAAATCTAGACTTTAATGTACTGACCTCCTTTTTATGTTAGTCTGAATCGATCAGGGCTTCTGTCAGGTCATGCACATACTCTACCGTTTACAGTGTACTCACAAACGGATGTTGATGTGATGGTAAGCCAGAAGAGTGATGAGAAAAACAATGTATGGATCTTATGTATAAGCCTCTGTCAAAGAGGATGAGATGAAAGGAACCACAAGGCTTTCTGCAGTGGGTTTTATCTCTTATTTAATGTTAAATTTGTCCATAAAATTAACATTGAAATTTGACATAAGAACATAAAAAATAAAGCTTAAAGTTAATATGGAAAGTTCAATAATATTTTGTTCTGGAGGATTACATACAGCATTCTGTTGTTAGAGAAGGGAGAATGTTTTCGTGCCCTTACCATTGCCTAGGAATGTGGCTGTCCTACCCTGCAAGTTTCCTGTAGAGAAGTTTCCTTGATCTTGGCCTGTGACCCAGTGGGCAGAAAATTCCTCCCCTCTGGACCAGTATTGCCTTCTGAGCAAGTGTTTTGTCAGTGCATCCCAGAGCACTGGTTGCTCTCAGTAGTGTGATGGGGTTTCACAGAGATGGTGTTTAGCGGAGCACCAGTTATTAGTCCCGTAACTTAGGTTTGTTTTGCTGCAGAAAGCATTGGTTCTCTTTATGCCAGCCTGCTTTTGGTGCAGTAATGTCCCCTTAAGTAAGAGGTTACTGCTTGATAGTAGTGCAGTTTTATTGTGGAGGCAGGGGGAATATAAAGATGATGTTGGATTGGTCTAAATACTTTGAATTGTTTGAGTACCATACAGAAGTGTGGTAGATGTTTTGTGCGATCTGAAAGCAGAGAGTTTAAGTAGGGATATGTGCATTGCAGCAGTCTGCGTGGCAGAGACATATCCCAGTAGTATTTAAGACTCTCCACACATCAAAACCTGTGATCCCATAGCTTACTGCTGCTTACATCAGCCTGTGGAGAAATACCTGGCTTCTTACCCTGCCTCCCAATGCAGTCAGTAGTGCCTGTGTAAGAAAGGCTGCTGTGAGAAACGGGGCAAATACAGAGACTTTCCTTGTGCATCTTCCCAGTTTAGACAGTTCCTGAGTCAGCTGTTGGCACGAGGTCTAGCTGGTCTTAGAGTTGGTTCGCCTACATCTACCCTGTGTGCAGTCATACCATTACCTGTGGTTTAGGCTGATACTTCTGTTGGGAAAGTATATCCTCATGAGAGAAGGTCATGGCATGCCCACCATGTCATGGGTTGTGGGGAGTAAGATACTCATCATCTGGAGAAGGTATTTGTCTCTAGGAAGTTTTATCTTGACCCAAATGATTTTCTGTGTGTTGAGGGTGAGGGGCACAGCTTACGGCTGCATGAGCTGTGACATCCACGACAGAGGTGTTTGAGGATCCCATTAGGCCCTTAGCAACCAACAGCAGGACAAATTCTGCTGCTGTGCAGTATAAATATGTGGTCCATGTAAGTGGGATTATCACTACCTTGTTAGAATGTGGTATTTTCTCATTTGAGAAAATTCGTGACTTTGAAACAGTTTTTCCCAGCTCCTGTTGTGTGTTTTGGTTGTAAAATCAAGACAAGTCTTACTTGCTCTGCTTTAGTAAGTATTTGTCATCATAGTGCAGCTACTGCCCAATGTTTTATTTATGAATGTCAGAACAGCTCTTTGTGTACATTGATTTCCATTTGTTTTCCCAAATCGCAGAGAAAAGGAATATAAGAATAATTTAAATCAGAATAGTCCAATGTTTCTGTGTAGTTCACTTGTTTTTTGGCTTTGTTTTCCAGGAACCTGAAGATGAAGTGTTTCTTGCTATTGCTAAAGCAATGGAGGAAATGGTGGAGGATCCTATAGAATGCTATTGGCTTGTCAGTTGCTTTGTGAATCAGCTGAACAGCAAGCACAAAGATTCATTACAACAACTGGTAAGGAAAAAACACCTTTTTTTTTTTTTTTCTCCTGTTTGTGGGGAGAGGCAGTTGTGGAAGGCATTAATACATGGAGACAACTGGAGCATCAGAGGTGACACCCTTGGATTCTGTTCCACCAACTGTTTTGAGAAAATGGGAGGAGTGCTTTTTAGGCTGTGATTGTGCTATCCTGTAGGACACTCAGTCAAATGTAACATTAGTAATTGGTTTTGTTTGCTACCTGGTAATTTTCAGTTACATCCTATTTTCTTTTTATCTTGTCTAAAGGTTACATTGTATCTAGTTGAATTATATTTCCTTTTAGGTTGTCTAAAGGTTGCTGGTATCTAGGTGAATTATATTTCTCACAAATCGGTCACTTAACAATTTTTTTTTTATTTTAAACAATTAAATTTAAATTACAGAGTTAAGAACGTCTTGATCTATGCCTGCTACTTTTTAGACTGCATCTCTGGCATCCAAGTGCTGCTCACTGTATGATAGACAAAGCACAGTTGGTTTTGCATTTTAAATGGAGCAGGGTACTATGTCTTCAGAAAAACAGTCTGTTGAAAATTAGGTTATAATAAAAAGTGGAATAGTTTTCTTTTAGCACTGATCATTTAAACACTGTCATAGAATGTTAATTTTGAATTTCTGTCTTACTGATTTATAAAATTAAAATTTGATTGTAAAGAAAAAGCATACTTTTTAAAATCGTGAGAGCTTTTGTAATTCTCCAAATAGCCTTACCAGATAAAAGCTCTTTAGTTAACAGTATGTACTGAGGTAAAGGTATCAGAGTACCTGTGCACTGGCAGACACCGAATGAAAATACGTTTTGCAGAAAATGATGCCTGCCCTTTGTTTGTTAGTCGTTTGGAACAAGAAATAATTTTTAAACCTGCCTCCTACTTCTGGAGGTGATACATTCAACCATACACATTTCTTTAGTTCCTTTCAAAGGAAAAAAGAGTAATTTTAAAGAAAGTGGTGTACTCTCACTAAATAAAGAGTGCCAAGCGTCTCCCTCCCTAATTTTTTTTTTTGTAATATAAGCAATGTACCAAGACTCTGCAGGTGAGAATATGGAAGAAGGAAGTGTTTTCTCCCTTTGACAACTGAAACCATTAGCTGTTTACTTAACTGTGACAAAAAGCATAAAGGTACTCCCGAATTTATGAAAATGTGTATTGTGTTACATTAAAATTTAAACAAGTTGACAAAATTATCCACATGTTTATCCTTCTAAATACTTTGGGTTTTTAAGCAATAAATCAATGTCCAGCTTTTAATGGGTTGTACAGGGATTTACTCTCAGAATTGATTTTCTGGGTTTTGCTGCCTTGTGTGTAGAGTTTTTTTGATGTGTGCTAAGGCTATTAGGTTTGAGGTGAATGAAACTCGATTTTACTTGTGAAGGTAACAGTAATTAGTGGATGTTTAATCTCTGTATTGCCTTAAGCTCTGAAACACCTCCTTGCATTAGGGAATACTGCATATATTGGAAGTTCTGCTAGTGGTCAGCAATTTAAGGAAGCTGAGTTTGTTTATTTAGTAAAGTACCTAATTAATTGCAAAAGTCAGCAACACTCATATTTTGGAACAGTTAAAACAATGTGAGTTCATTATTTTAACATCTTGTTTTATGCCGATTGAAATTCTAATTCTAATTTTCTAAGACGTTACATGTCACTGATGTGAGTTACCTAAAATTTTCCAATCCTTTCTCAGCCAAAAATTCTGGAGCAGTATTTGAACATTGAAGATAACAGACTCCTGATGCATCTGAAAGCATGTGCTGCCATGAGCAAGCTCCCATATGATCTTTGGTTTAAAAAGTGTTTTGCAGGATGTTTACCTGAGTCCAGTTTACAGAGGCAAGTTCTCTTCTTTCAATTTGTAACTTCATTGTACTTTTAGCTTTTTATTGTCACTAGCAGGGAAAGAGCTTTCTGTATTTTATCTGTAAGATTATGGTGTTGACTTCATTGCTGACTTGGAAATGATAAAATCAGATTTAGTTCCCTTTTTTGGTGATGCAGGATAATCAGTCTCTGTGTGATCATTTCACCCACTGAAATTAAAAAAGAATGGAGTTAAGAATACCAGCTGATTCTGTTAGACACTCCTGGGATTTAAAACTCAAAATCCTCTCTTAGTGATGGATGGCTGAATGGTAGACAGTTTTCAGGCTTTTTAACGAAAATCATTTCTTAGGGAGTGACTGTAACATCATAATTGTTAGATGAAAAAGATTTTGGGAACGTGTAGTAGTTTTGGCTGGGATAGAGTTAAATTCCTTCAGAGTAGCTCATATAGGGCTGTGTTTTGCATTTAAGCTGAAAACAGTGTTGATAACACAGGGATGTTTTAGTTACTGCTGAGTGGCACTAACACAGTTTTGTTTTCCTCTCTTTGTTATTTTTTCTTCTTTTCCTTACAGGTTTTTTTAATTATTATTTCTTTTAAATTATGAAATACTTTTTTTCTCAACCCGTGTGTTTGTTTCTTACTTCTACCCTTCCAGTTCTTCTCCCATCCCAGTGGCAGGAATAATGGCTGCGTTGGCTGTGTGGTGCTCAGTTGCTGGCTGAGGTTAAACCATGACAGAATGTTTGTTTTAAAAAGTGCTAGGGCAGGTTGAGTATTACAAAGTTAATGAAATAGTGGATTGCATCAGGATTCTACAGCTAGAAGTGGGTTGTTGAGCTTTTAAAAGGACAAAATTCTTGTGCATGGCATTTCACTGAAAGGCTTTTGAAATGAAGCTGGCATTATTTCTCTAGTTCTGCTGCCTGAGAACTCTTGGAAAGCAGGAAATTCAAGCTGGATGTTGAGAAACATGTTCTTTCTGCATTAATAAGAGTTGCTAATAGCTGAGCAGGATGTGGTACAAAAAACCCAATGGTTTCATTTTCAGCAGCCTGAAAACTTTGAGAAGTGGTGAGGTTCAAGAGAATTTTTACTTCAAGGGAATCAATTCCAGGGCTTCAGTTAGTATAGGAACCTAGTGTGGAAACAGAGTGCTTTGTAAATTGCTCTGTATAGAATGCTTTTGTGGTGGTAAGTTGGTCATAATCTTAAATAGTGAATGTTATTTGTTTATGTGGAACTTCACGTTTAATGGAGAAAAGTGAGAAATGGCTACTTTTAAAAATGTTTTATTGGCCCTTATAAAAACAAAGTTTTAGAGAACAAGCTGTGAGATTAGAAATCATGCTCTCTGGTCTTGGGGGACCGTGGCCTTTGAGGTTCAGGATGTTTTACTGTTGTCATCCAGGAATGTGTTAGAGAGAAAAAAACATTTTGAACCTTTAGGTGCAGCACTGTAATTGTTACATGGCAAGTTCTTCTCATCAAGCACCTGTAAGGCCCCAAAATAGTCATCTCTGTGTACTGGTTGTATGTGATGATGTGGTTCAAAGATTGTACCGCTTTTATGGCTACAGAAATTAAGTAGGTAGTGTGTTGGTTACAGCCTTAAAAGCAATTGAACACCTATAGTTTACCTACATCTCTTTCACATTTGCTTTTGTAGGTTGTTTCCAGCAGGTAATGATTGCTCTTGTTTCATTGTGCTTTCTCTTTGTGCAACTTAGTGCCTTAAAATGTAAACTAAGGGCAGCAGAAGTGACTGCCCCAGCTGGGACTTATCAGTCTCTTCAGGTCTTTTTTTCCATAGGCTTTTGTGATCTGAGATGGCCTTTGCAATCTGCTGCACCTCTTTGCATGTCTCCTAGGAAATATTTTTAGTTAGAGCTTATGTGATTCAATTTTGCTACTTGGTCTTACGGCTGAGGGCTATTGCTGAAAGAGGAATTTGCATCAGAGCAGTTTTGCTCTTGGAAGACGAAGGGTTTTTTAAAATTTCTGTTGAAAATAGAACATTTTATGGAGCTGTGTCATCTTGATAGTGTAAAAGGAAAAATCTAGATGAAGAATTTTGATTACGCATTTCACCTTGTCAGAACCTTTAGTTTCAAACTTCTATCATTTTGAATCAGTTTATTTACATAAAATATTTTGTCTAGTCAGTGTGCCTGTTTAGCATTCATATATACTGTTTGATCTTACTGAAATAGAATATTTTGATTATCTTGAATTTTTTTAATACTTTTTTTTTTTTTTAATACTTTTTTTCCCCCGTAGAAACGGTCGAAATATTGGCTTTTGGTATCACTGTGGAGTAAAAACAAATTTTAGTGTTGATACTTCTGACGGCAGAGCAATCCCTTTTCCCAACAGTTCTTGTGGGAACATGTTAAAAGTGCGCTTTTTCTTCACAGTTTAGGTTTCTGAATTATTCATTTGTAGTCATAATGGCTTTATTCACTAAGGAAATAACATACTTCATGGGTAGCATGTGACAGATGAACTTAATTAATGCTTAGAGATTCAGTTTGGATTAGAATCTAGGAGCCTGAATGCTTATCTGAAATGTATCCAAGTGGCAGTGTTGGAACTGCTGAGATTTGAAAACAGGCCTCCAATTCTCCTGTGAATTTTGCTTACTTTTTTGTGAAGTGAGAGATGATGTGAACGCAGTCTTTTATGGTTTTAATTTAACTTATGATTTATCACTGTGTTTCTTGGAGAGGTTGATTACTATCTATAAATTGTAGTCCTCTCTGCCAGGCAGCTAAATCTAGATTTCACGGGTTTCTTTCCTTTTTTTTTTTTGGTTTTTATTCTGAGATGTACAAGACTTGTATGTGCTGTGCAGAAATTTTTTCTGATAGTGGTGGGATGACGTTGCACAATGCCAGCTTAAACTTCTGATGGGCATTGCCATTCAGTGTAAATACTCTTTTATTGCACACTTCCAGTCACACCATAGGTAAAATTTATGCATCGGTTTAATTTAAATGGGCTTGGAAAGTGTATATGGACAGGTTTCAGGTAGAAACATTTCCTTTGAGCTTATGCAGTGTCTTTGTGTGCCCTAATACACTCGACATATTATTCAGCAAGGTTCTTAAAACTTCTTAGAGGTGCCATATTGGCAAAAGAGAGGAGCAGACTGACCATTTCAAAGACCCTGTATCCCACCTGGAATATAGACAGGGTGATTTCTGGAATATGAACTAGCCCGTAGCACAAGTCTAAGAGGGACAGAAAAGTGTACTTGTCTCTCAAACAGGGAGAGAACTGCATCACGCTGTTGTTTTCATGCCATCATTGCCCTGTTTGCTTGATTTCTGCAGCAGCATACCTGGTCATCTGTTTGGGAAGCCATGCCTGGAAAGCTTTCCAATGGTGCTGTGTGGGCCCTCAGCTAGAAATCCCTGCTCTTAAAGCTTGTTGTTCCCTTTGTGGCTTCAGCTCTACAGGCAAAATGGCACTTTGGCTGCCAGTTTAATCCAGCACTGTCACCCCAGATGATCCAACCACAGCAGAGGTGGTGCAGCTTTGCAGTTGTAATTGTGAATGAGCCAGGCGTTTTTTATGGCCTAATGGTGCCAATCATGTAATGTGCTCCTGAGTAATGTTGTTTGTATTCTGCACTGAAGGCTTGGCATTAGCAGGGTGGTGTTAGGTTATTAGTCTCTGGCAGCTTGGTGGTGGTAAAGTGTTTGGTCATTCTCCTGAAATTTACGACTTTCCAACTGACACCACCTCATGTATTAATATATGGCTTCTGCAGTTTTACATCTGTGATCTCCATGTCCTGCATAATTTATATCTGGTTGTAAAAATGTAAGTAATTAGTTAGTAGAAACAACAGAAATATGAAAAATGCCTTAAATTTACTATGGAGTGGGAGGGCATAAAAATGTGCATGTGAGCTACTACTGTGGAGAAACTTAATCTGATTTGCCTTTAAGTAACTGAGCAGCTTCTCAGCTCTATAAACGGGTGGGCACAAGATTATGACCTGACTTTGGGATGAGATTTGTGCGAGCCTCATCATGTCCCTCCATGCCCAGTTACCATTGGAAGGACACCCAGAGGCACAGGCAGAGGAGAAGGCATTGGCTCTTTTTAGATATCTCTGGCCTGAACGACTGGAGACCCAGAACCAGGGAGAAAGGTTGAGTGTGTCTACCCTGCAGCCTAGGGGTGAAACTGTGAGATTATTGGTAATATTTCAGAAAAAGAGAGAGCAGCAATGCTGTGGTGTTTCATGTGTCCTACTGCACTGTAGCAGGGTAGGAACCTCAGAAGCCGCCTGGAGAATGGCATCCCTTCACACACAGGTGCACACAGAGTGAGTGGTATCTTGACAAAGGAAAAAGCTCAGTGAAAAGTAAATAGTTTTATTTGTGTAATCCTGGGCATGCTCTTTGCTTTAAGAGCTTCCTGTTTCTTTTTATTTTTCCTTGTGGTTGTCACTACTGTTTCACTGTTACACAAATACCTACAAAAGTGCTCACGTAGTTAATTGAATGGTTATATTTCACAGAGGAAGATAACCACACAAATATAGGGAATTTTTCAGCGTTCCTGAGTAGGGCTATAGGCACAGTGGCACGATGTTTCTCTTCTACTATTAATCTGCTTTGGGTTTTTTCCATTTTTGACACAGTTTATGTTGTTCTCCCTGGCTCTGCTGGTACAGAGAAGGTGCTGACTCTTGACCACAGTGTTACTGGTGGAATTGCATTGGGAGTAACAAAAGCTGGAAATGTTAAGGGGAAAAATATTGCAGCAGAATAGCTGGTTAGTGCTGACATCTCACCCACTTTTCTATGCACCATCTTCCAAAATTTGTGAAGACACTGGTGATTTAGATACTGCGTCCATTTTGCCATTGTTAAAAAGATTTGTTCTGGAATCAGACTAAATAATGCAGAAAAACAATAGAGTGTTTTCTGAGCATAGCGTGGAACCTAACGTAATTATGGAGGCTGAAGTCAGGAGAATTGGAAGCAAAATAATGAAAAGAGACTGGGTGTTTTGTACTTTACACTTTTGAATTAACATGCACTTAAATATTAGCTTCAAAAATTATTTCCTGTTTTTTAAGGTTTGCTGCTCTTTGTAATTGTCATTCATAATTACGTAATTCTGATGCACATGAAACACATGGGGAAGCTGTTCTTGGGTTCGAAACAGATGTGTTTGGTAAGGAAAATGCTTTAGAAGTAAACAGGGATGACCTGTACATTATGGTACAAGGCTGTCGTCTCAGTTTTCTCATATCCTTGCTCAAACCTTCTAGACCTGACTTCAACATCAGTGTAATATTTACAGTGATAATTTGTCCTGGGATGCTTGAACCGCAAAGGAAACAGTAAGATTTTGATGTCGGATTATGTGTTATTCCTCTCAATATGGGAATTATACTCATTTTTTTCTTATAGCAAGACAGGGAATTAAAACTAAATTGCAAAGGGGAAGGCTGTGCCTTTTTTCTCCCCATCTGTCCATGTGGAGTTTTTGTTTCGTTCTTTTTCGTGAGTAGTCCTGAGGATTTTACATATTCTTTTCCTCCTTTCTTTATTGTAAGTTAAAATCTAGTCTAAATGTTTTGATGATTGGAGAGGTGGTGAAAATAGTGTCAAAAATTTTATGTGAATGGGACGTTTAGAAACTGATAAAGAGTTGACTTGAGTCACAGTGTGAAAAATAAGCAGTGTGTAGCAGCAGCAAACCTTTCAGCAAATTATAAAGCTTTTTACCAAAAAATCACAGAAAATTTGAGGTTGACAGGGACCTCTGGAGGGCATTGGTCCAACCAGTCCCTCTGCTCAAGCAGTTGCCCAGGATTATGTCCAGACAAGTTTTGAATGTCTCCAAGGAGAGAGACAACTTCTCTGTGGGTAACCTGTGCCAGTGCTCGGTCACCCTCACCGTTGAAAAAGTGTTTCCTGATGTTCAGAGGGAACCTCCTGTGTTCCAATTTGTGCTTGTTCCCTCAGGCTCCTTTACTGGGCATGACTGGAAAGAGCCTGGCTCCATCCTTTTTGCACTCTCCCTTCAATTTATGTACATTGATGAGATTCCCCAGATTGTTCTCCAGGCTGAGCAGTCCCAGCTCTCTCAGCCTTTCCTCACAGGACAGGTGCTGCAGTCCCTTCATCATCTTAATGGCTCTTGGCTTGACTCTCACTGCTTAAAAGTGTGATGCCTACACTTCAATTCAGCTTTCAAAGTTCGTGCCGTGCCTGCATTGTACTCTGCTGGCACTCTGGGCTGAAGGGCAAGTTTGTCTGGGAGAGGTCATACAAAAATTGAGTTGCCTTTGGAAGAAGCACACCCTCAGATCCAGATTTATAGGTGGGCTGCAGAAGATGTTTTTCAATTAGTGTGACTGTATTCAGAAATTACGGAGGGTAGTATGTGATCTTTGTCCCCCGCGATTTTATTTGGAAGGAGATGTACTTTGAACAAGTGCCCAGAAGGAGCAATATCTGTAATCCTCAGAAAGTCTTTCTGACACAGCTCTTAAAATTCAAGAACTAAAAATAATGCAAGCCCATAAAACCTGCCATCTGACAGATGGTTTCACACTGGTTTTGGATAATCTTTCTTCCCGAGTATGTTGAGCTGGGCCTGAGAGAGAGCTACTGGATGAAGGGTGATTTCAAATTGTCGGTAGTTTTGGTAGTAAGAATCCATTTTAATGTTAATCCAAGTTCTGTTACTGAAGTACATGCAGCCTTTGGAGCCCTGCCTGTCAGGTTTTCTTAAAACTGGGGTCCAAGTACAGCTTCATAGAAGTGGTAGGAGTGCTTAGGTAATTCTGAGAGTCTGCACAGTGGGATGGATTGGAAGACTTAGTAGTTGTTCCTTGTGCCTGATTTAAACATAATGGATTATATCCCGTTGATAGGTCATATTTGTATCTCATACAGCAATGACCTGGAATATTTAGCTGTTTAAGGTATAGTAGTTCAGTATTACATCCCTTTGAATTTTCAGCTACTTAACTGTTTGAAAGAGTGTATTAGGCATGCTAATGAAGTTAATTTCTTCTTTTTTGCACTCGGAAAAATTCTTACCTTTACCCTACACAGTAGAGTGGTTGTTACAGTTCAGACTATTAAAACAAAATTTGCTTTTTGTACTTGATCTTGTAAACAGTTCAATTTCTAAACAGCAACACACCATATTAGTACATACCAATTACTGCTTGCCATCCCTCTGCTCTGAACAGATTTAAGAGTTGATAAAATGTCTTTTATTTACCTTGACCCAAATAATTCAATACATTGCTGTTGCTCAGAAAAATAATCTGTGAAGAGGTGATTGTATGAAGGCTGTTCTAGCAGATAAATAAGCAGATAAGCACTGCAGTAATGTTTAGTGATTCCTTTTCATTTTCTTGTAGGGTTTGGGACAAAGTTATTAGTGGGTCCTGCAAGATTCTCGTTTTTGTTGCTTTGGAGATATTATTAACCTTTAAAATGAAGATAATAGCGCTGAATACTGCAGAAAAGATCACACAGTTTTTGGAGAATGTAAGTACTCTACTGTGCTTTTATAAAAAGTGTGTTTCAGCCTTAGTCATTTGCCTGTTACCATTGATATCATTACAGATGTACCATGGGATATTATTGCACTCCTCAGTGAGAATAGTGGAATAGTACAAAGGTGAAGATAAAACGCACAGGAGTAAGAATAATTTTTTCTATGAGGAGGTCAGGCTTTCATAGAGTGAAGTTATTTTTAGGCGTGGGGAATGTATTATCTATGTTTGTACAGAAGTGACAATATTCCTTATGATACTGAAGGGTTTTTCTGTGAAAGTATGTGCAGGTGAGGTTAGGTTAATTTTTATGGAAGCTCCTTAGAGGGGTTGGTTTCTGGCTGCCTATTTTTTTTTTTTTGCTTCTTTCCTGAGTGCAAGTCTACAGACCCAAGGGTGTGTTTTCTGTTGATGTGAGGATGGGGTCATGAACCTGACCTTGAATAGTAATGAGCATCCCAGCAGGGCTGTAGGGTCCCGATGTAACCTAGGTTAGTTAGATGAGATGTGTTTGTGGTCATGGATGGCCAGGGTGAGTTCTGCCTGCTGTCGACTCAGGGATGTGTGAAGTGTGAGATGTCTGGGTGGTAACCTTACCATTTTGTAAATAAAAGCTTTTTAACCTGGAGGTAACATGGTGTGTGTAGGACTGAAGGGTGATGGGATGATGGGGCAGGCAGGTGGGATTCTAGTTTTGTTCTCTTTTTTCTAAAGAGAACAAACCTGAACTGGAAATTCAGAATCTTTATTTTAAACAGAACAGTCCAAATGAAGTGCTCTAACAAGGCATCTTGCCCTGATCTTTTGTAGATTCCTCAGGACAACACTGATGCCATTGTCAGCAAAGCTGTCGATCTGTGGCGCACACACTGTGGGACTCCAGCACACTCAGTCTGAGAACTCTCTTTGCTTGTGACTGCTCGGGGGAAAAAAATGACATTTGAAAAGACATTACATCACTCTTCCCCCTTCCTAGTGTGATGTTCTTCGTTAACCTATGTAAAAATGCTATTAAAGCATAGTGACCAATTGGCAGAGACTGAAGAGGTTAATGATTTGCGCATTCTAGGATCTCTAGGTGCTGCTCACCCAGCGGGGCTCACCTCTCCACCAGCGCTGCCGAGGGGTCGAGTCCTGAAAAGGCGGGAGGTGCCGTGTTTGCCGTGCCCTTCACGTGGACTCTGCATGTCTGGCTGGGCTGTCGGAGGCGTTGGAGGCTCGTGGCATGACCTGTCAAAGCCCATCCCTGCGCCTGTCCTGAAAGGTGGGAAAAACCTTTTTACTGTGCCCCTCACAGGAACTCTGTGCGTGCCCAGGAGACACTGGAGACTCGTAGCATGGCCCATGACACTATTTATTCCATGGTAAAACTCCCCACCCCAGGGAGGTACAAGGTGTTCTGTAGGTATGTAATAACTCATAACTTCTTTGAGAGTGTGGGCCTCCCTCCCCCACCCCAGTGGATCAAGACCACCACTTCAGCTAAATGACATGGAAGCTGCAACTACCAAGTTTCATTGCTGGATCCTGTGTGCACTGAATCTATATATCTTCTTTACCCTTTATTTCCCTTTCTCTCTCCTATGCACTTCCTTAAGTGTTATCCTAATGATCGCTGTATTGCTGTAGATGATAGATATAGATGATAACACCCAAAACGGCACCATACCTGTTTGCCTTTGAAACAGAATTGTTCTAAAACAAACCCTACATATGTATGTTTTCAAACACTGATTATTCAGTGTCGTTTTCACTCTAATCCATCCCAAGGGATTTATTAATAAGAACCTGGGTGAGCCCCCAGCCCCCCCGGCCCTTTCTGAGGTGAGTCACAACACTAATATGTAAATATTTTTCAATAAATACAGGTGGAATGAAGATATCTGGTGGTGGTGTGATCATTTCCAAAGTGGTTTTTTGGTCAGCCAGCTACAGTATTTTGGTTGCGCAGTGTGCTCTCTTGCTCTTGAAGAAGTAAATTTAACTCCTGAAGCATATTTCTGTATGCCAGCTTATACTTGATGTAACTAGTCACTATTTGGAGGTGTTTGTAAGGTGAATGTACTGAACGTTAGTCTGCTGGATTGGTGGGCAAGCATGCCTTTGCTAGAAGTGCACTTGTACTCCAGTAATACTGTCAATTTTGGCTAAATGAGGCTTCACAAGACTCACGATGATCAGGGGTGATATCCTTTTCTAAATTGTTTTAAAATACTTCTTTTTATCTGTCAACCAGCTCTCTATGGCTGTACCTCAGTCTTTGTTCTTCATGGAAGATATTCTAGAGAGGTGGGTCTGTGCAGGTAAGGAGAAAATCAGTTGGGATGAGTCAGTAAAATTCAGCATTACAGCCCAGTAATAAATATAAAAAATAAACTCTGTTGAGTGCTTGGCTCAAAGTTGTAATTTGATTTTTTGTGGCTTAGATTTCAAAACAAATTTAATACAGAAATGTAATTCATGATTTAAGTAGAAGCCATAGATAGAGGTTTACTGGAGAACCGATCTTTTTCTTGTAAAATGGTGAAATTCTATTTCTGCCTCTTGCATAGCCCAGGGAATTGTATATAAAAATGTGTTGCTTAGCTGTTAGTTGACTCAAATTGACGCTCAGAATGCCAAGTAATGCACATTGCACTTGAATGGGTGTGTGTAGCTTGTACTCAGTGTAGGGCAAACTTGAAATGCTTTAGAAACATTTGTTCTAAAGTACGTCAGGTTTACTTTCAAGCACGTTGACTGGGGAGGCTTGGGACTCGCCTCAGGTTACCCCTAAAACCCTGGGAACATGATCTGTGCTGGAGGCTGAGATGCTGCTGTCAGTGTTTCTGGAATGCCCGAGTTTAGCCAGTTCAGAAAAAGCATGTTCACGTCTGCTTTGCAATCCATTGCTGTGTAATCCAGTGAGTTCACTTCAGATGGGAACCTGTTTTCCCAGCATAGGTGTGGGAGCTGGGTAGGGGTATGGGAAAGAGCACGCATGTTCTGTGAACAATAGCACTGCATTCTGTAACGTGCAGTGCACAAGTTTCTCAAGTAATGGCCACAGGTGCAGTCTGAGAGATTGCCTATTTGAAGATTTTTTTTTTTCCCCCCAGGCTGCACAACTAATTCACACAACCCTATAGGTACAGGTGCATTATCCAGGCTTTTACACAGCGGATTACTTGGTCATTGAAAAAACGAGCACCGATGACACTGAAGGTGTTCAGCAGATTCAGTCCTGAAGGGGAATCAATAACTCATATTCTGTGAAGAGAGGTGAACTGAATCAGGATTAGAAATGCCAGTCAGCGTTACTGCTTCCAGACTTGCCAGTGACTGTTCCTCCAATTACTATTTGACTGAAGGCTCTAAACGCTTTTTTAATTTAAAGAAGGCTTAGATCTCTATCAGTAGGCAGGCCCTGGAGCTGCACAGAAGAGAGAGATCAGCTTTTACAGAATCACAGAAAGGCTGAGGCTAGCAGGGACCTCTGGAGTCCATCTGGTCCAACTCCCCTGCCCAAGCAGGACTGCCTAGAGTCAGTTACCCAGAACCATGTCCATGTGGCTCCAAGGATGGAGACTTCACCACCTCTGTGGGCAACCTGTGCCAGTGCTTGGTCACCCTCACAGTAAAAAATCTTCATGTTTCCATGAGCAACAGCAGTTTTACTTAAACATCCCATTATATATGGGATGGATCCTCAAATGCTGCTCCCCTGTAATGTCCAGCTGAAGTTTGTGTGCAGCTTTTTCAGTTCTATGTATAAAGAAGGAG